GTCCATATCATATGTTATTGTACATCGACGGGTAATACATATACGGCCGTGAATTTTACTCCATTCCATTCCATTATTGTACATGTGTGTGTGTGTATATGTGTATGCTGCCAGTAATACAGCAGTACTGTACAATAAAGATCTTGCGTGTGATTCCGTGAAAAACGACGTACTGCTGCAGAGTTCCTTATACTGTACAGTATTCCATACGTACAGCTAGCAGTATAGTACTGATGCTGCTGCTGCTGCGCTGTCCAACGTCAATTCCTGCATTACTAGCTATTCCTCACGTCGCTCGTATATATACAGCATATTGTCATCTGAAAGAACAAAATAATTGAAAGAGGAAACCATCAGAACTGCGCTTTTTGCCGATCATCATACAGTATATACATCAGTACAGCAAGTACAGTACTGTATATGCAAAGCAGGGCTATATATGATTGCATTGAGGCTGCATAATGATGACGTAGTCGTCGTCTTGATTGATTGATTGATTGATTGATTGGTCCGTCTCTGCTCCATTATTAATCTTCGCTTATTTTTATTGCTGCTGATGCTCCTCCTCCGGCTCTGCTGGCAGAATACCGTCTACAGTATATCTATATGCTTGCTGATGCTCGATTCCGATGGATGCGAGAATGATTGAATGAATGAAGGAAGGAATGAAAAGCGGCGTTTATAAGCACTGCTGTCGCAGGACCCGCGTTATTCAGCCCATCCTACGGCACCAGTACTTAGGAGCGCCATCTCTCGTCACATATCCTCACCAGCATCACTTGCCATCATCAGCATACCTCCTGTACATTACATATAAAAACATATTGTATATATGCATGATGAAGCAGCACAGCAGGTGTACTATACAGTATAGCTGTATAAAGCATCAACACAGCATTCAATGTTGTATATATACATCAGAAACAAATACTCATCTATACTGCTTGTATATATACTGCTTCTTCGTCTGCTATATACTATACTGCTGCATATATTGTATACTGTATAGCTGTCGGGCTATGCTGTTGTGCTGGACGATAAGGTGCTGATGTGCTGCATCATCATACGTGGATTTCGGCGGTTTCTTCTTCTTCTTCTTCATCATCAGCACACGTTGTCTTCATCCATCCATCCATCCAGCATCAACAAAGGTCTCATCCCTCTCATGACAATCAACACATGCACTGTACTGTAATTCCAATCGCAATAATAATGCGTGTGAATCATTATTATCAACATGATGCGACAATTATACAGACAATAAATACTACTGCACTGTATTACCTCGCTCATATGATGCAGAATCCAAAGGAGAATAAGACGGCACGCGGAGAGGATAATAAAAAAGCATCCATGCAGCAGGCGGGCGAATATATATATATATAAATATATATATATATATACAGTACTGTATATACTGTATACAAGAACCAAAAAGATGCTTGGTTATATACCCTATATATATACGCACGATCATGAAATCAGCACACTAATCTATTCGAACATGATGCGGGTCGCGCCGCCGGTTTTCGTTCAACCCGCAGCAGCAGCAGCAGCAACAAACAGGATTTGCTGGGACGATGATGAGACGTCGTCTAGAGATTATTCCACTCTTGCTCATCTTTTCTTTCCTCCCCTTTCAAATTCATCCCTCGTTTTCTTTCCTGCTGATTCTTCTTTTCTTCATCCCTCCAAATTATCATCGACCCAGCACGATGAGCACGAAAGAAAGAAAACAAAAGCAAACACTATTATGATACATCAGCAGAGAGGGGGTTAGAGAGAGAGAGAGCAGCAAGTAAATACGGAATGCCCATGACAAAAACGACAACTACAAGTACTGTACATCACACATCAGCTTTTGAAGATAATACAATAATACAGTAATACGTTTTCAATCGCGTCCACACAATTAAATATCACTTATATTATACTGTATTATATTTAGACGCACCAAACGTAACTGCTGACTTTTTCTTACCCTGTTCTTCACAGCACCACCAGTGTTCTTTATTGTTTGAGAAAAAGAAAAAAAAGGGGATATGAGCACTCGAAAAACATACAGCAGTAATTACAGAGCAAATCCCTTCCTATATACTTGGAGGAATACTGTTCCTTAATTGAGCGTGTATTTACAGCTGGATTCTTGCAATTAATGTTGCATGAATTAAATACGACATAAAAACCGCCTGTGAGTGACAATTTAGTCACCTGATGGCCAAGAATGAATATTCATTAATGGATTTGATTTTATATTGAAGAAAAGAAACATTTTTACATTTGCAGCCTGAACGTTTATTTGCTGAAACCCAGGAGCTGCAATTGTGTACTTTTCTTTTTGAATGCCCCGAGTGGGACGACGTTATTTTTATTTCTGTGCCTGGTTTTAGTGATTTTTATCGGGCCATCAAGAATGTGTGCTGATTTTATCAGCAAAGCAATTCGGCGGAAATGTGATTTTGTAGGAATTGCATGAAAGTTCTCGAAAACTATACGCATCGCATCAATATTTTTGTCATCACCTAATCTGTAGCAAACTTTGCGTTCTAGAATTTGAGACAATCCTGCAATTCAATGTCTTCAAAATTGAGCAAGATATTTGCTTCGGAAGTTTACGTTGCGAATTACGCAATTGTACAAATGTATCCTTGGAAAATTTCCTGGTTTCCAGGTCTGTCTTTATTGTTGAAAGTGCCTATATTTTTTCATGCCTATTATTCTGTGTATATTATAAGGTGTGTTGAATTGTGAATAAATAGTCAGTTTCACTGAAACTGGCACAGTTGCCTGTTGTCCCATTTTCTCCCCTTGGCTGAAGTGTAAATTTGCTTGATGGGAGCTGCTTAAATGCTCTTGCACTTTGATTTACCTTCAATTCAAAAAGTTTGTGTTATTTTCAATTAAAAACCAGCACAAATCACAATTAATGATCCTGTGTATCATTAATTCATCACCCAAAAAATGCAGTTGAACCTATGGACAATTAAAAAGGCTACATAGACAACAAAAATTCTAAGGCTTTCCAGGATGACTCAACATTTCTGTAGATCTCTTGACTACCGTATTATTTTATTGCGACAGCTAGGAAAGATAAGTGCAATACAAAAAAAGTAACCTCATCCTTGGCTTGGACAGCTGAAGTGAAAGACTTTCCGCGTAAGTGACAAAAATTTCCCATGCCTCCCAAATTATTCAGTAAATCTCGTCAACTTTTTAAAAATGAAATAAAACGATCCAATATATAGGTCATGGAATATACATAACTCAACATTAAAAACAAGTTCCTGTAATTCTTCCTCCTCTTTTCTACATGTCCACGAAAGTACTCGTTTTCCTTGCTGCTCATCGAAGCCTCCTAGAGAGCAACTCGTCTTTTCTTCATGATGGTTTCACGTGTATGGAGTATTATCAAAAGGTTCCACTGAACATATACTTGCATATAGTAAAGAATAATATATTGGCAGCATCATGCAACACAAGCACCAACAAATTAAACCCGTCAAACATTTTGGGCTGACAAAATATTGCACCAATTATTTGCTGCATATACGATATGTATATTCAGCATGTAGAGCAACAGAAATGCATTTCCTAATAAAGGAATGAAATACTGCAGGTTCCTGCAAACATGCACCATCTCTCAGTATACAGTATATATAGCGTGCATCAATGGCAATAAAATAGGAACGAACGAGGTACTTGCATATGCTTTTACAGTACTGCACTTAAACACTGTATATATATATATCACTGCATGATGGCAATGTGCTTCACTTTTACAATAATGCATCACAACAATAACAGAATAGGGTGCTGATGTTGATAAAATACTGTAATGCGTAACACACAGCATGATGCGCATCGTCTGAGCTCGCAGAAGCAGCAGCACTAAATATATACGTCCCCGGCATCATCTGTGTACAGTATATATACATCAGCAGTATATATGGGCTTCAAGTATTAAAAGGACGACGATGAGTGAACTTCACATCAGTATTTACACGCTCGAACGACGAGTATATTGCTTTTTCTTTTCTTCCCCATATACAGTAGTTTTAGCGATGAGGGAGACTCTCATTCATCCCGCCTTATTTCTCTGCGGCGTTCTCCACGTAGTAATACGCGCACTGCTGCGTTGCACGTACGTTAGTATACTTTCGTCGTCGTCTCAATCAGTCATTCATTCATTGATGCGCGACGTACGATGGGATGAGAAGAGATTTGCTGACGATGTCTCGCCTCCGATTTTCACGCGCGCATGCTCACGATGCGGGCGGCCGCCGTCGCTCCATATCAGCAGCACTTCTATACACTGTACTGTATATACAGTAGTTACTTATTATCCTGATGCTCCTTCTCATCTCTGCGCCATATACAGTTCTGTGCCGTAATGTATGTACAGTAAAGAACAGTATTTAACCACTGTATCTGTACTGTTCGGTAGTGAAGCACAGCAGCTAGTATACATCACGGCATCGTCGTACGTATGCTATATAGTGATGCTTGATTTTATAATGCGGGTCCCTCTTATATTTACATCATACGCATGCATGCAGTGATGGTTAGTAGATTACTCATACAGGCAATCCTTCACATGATGATGCCGTGATGCACGCCACTCGTGTCGTCTTCGTCACCGCAATGGGATAATTGCGAGTCGTCACTTTCTTCCTCCATCACAAACAGCATACACCGGATGACAGGAGTAGTAACCATCAGTTGCCCTGGTACAATATACATTCATTTTTTTTTTACTTTGACATTGGCACCTTGGAAACATTCTTTCAACATCAACTTCATACTGATCCTCATGTATTTCATATACACAGCAAAGTGCATGTAAAGTACAGTACCCTTCCTGCAAAAGCAGATGCTCAGAGTACAGCAGTACAGCTAGTACGCAGAATACAAAATAGGGATCTCAAAGGGCATCAAAGAAAATATCTCCCATCAATCGTACAATAATGAGTCCATATTTAAAAGAAAAGATTTCAGTTCAGTATTTTCGAATGATTCCCCATTGTATTTCTTTTTTCATTATTAAATACTGTATAATAGGATAAACTATAGCAGAGCACTTGATAGCATCCAGAAATGACGGCCTACTAAATGAGAAGATGGAAGAGAATTAACGCGATCACAGTTCCACAATTATTCAGTCCTGGAAAACAAAGCAAGAAACGTCAAAAAAGGCGGCAATCAAATTCAGTATAGTGCTCAATGTCAAAACATTGTTTTTTGTTTTTTTTTGATTCTCAACACTCTGCCAAGAGAGAAATGAATTGACAAGCATCAGCGTTGTTTTTCCTCGGGGGTGCTGGAAACCCCGACGTACTCTATTCATCCTGCTTCCAAAAAAAAGAAGCACACAAACAACAATGCCAGCAGAGCGGGGAAATGGGGGAAACGCGCGCATTACCAACATAAAAAAAAGAAAGACGAACCCATTTTTTTGTTTTGTTTCTTTCTTGGACAACGAATTGCATTGACCAGAAAAAAAATTGAAGAAAGAAGTCCACTACAGTACTACGCTTCGTCATCATTGGGAGCCAATCCACCAAACACTTCTGATGGAACTGCCCGCTTCTCCAGACCAATTTCTTTCTTGGCATTATTTTTCTTCGTTTTCTCCACCTCATCTCCTTCTCCTTCTCCGCCGCCGTCGTCTTCATCTCCTTCTCCTCCTCCTTCTTCTTCGTCATCATCATCTCCTTCGTCCATGTCGATATCAATCTCATCCGGGTTCTGCACACGAGATCCCTTGGCTACCTCGTCGTCCCTCGTGTCCGTGCCACCGCGAACAAAGAGGATCTTGCTCTCGCCTGTCGCCGTCTGCGGCTGGCCCACTCCTCCCTTTGCATGCAGCTGCAGGGTAGAAGACGAAGGCGGCAAAGAAGAAGACTTCTCTGCTGCCCTCGCCTCCAACAATCGCATGCCGTCCGCCGTCGCCCCCGGGGCCAAGTCCGACACCGTCCTCGCGTCCCCCGTCCCCGAAGAGGCCAGCATCTGCGCCGACATCATGTTGACCTGCGTGTTGTACGTGGCCTGCACGGACCGACGGATCCGCAACATCTCCCGCATCGTGTCCTCGTTGCCGTGCTTCATCTCAAACTCCTTCCACGTCGTCCAGAATTCCGACGTGATCCTGGGGTCGCACATTTGCGAGCAGTGAGCGTAGATGGCCCTGGCCCGGTCAATCTCGCCCAGCTTCCGTTCCATATCGGCAAAGCGGAGACACATCTCGCGGGCCTGCGCGTCCGGCAACGCCTCGATGGACGCCTCGTAAATCTCCCGCGTCTTGGTCACGCCGTAGATCTCGGCCGCCTTCTGGATGTGGATGTTGTACATCTCGAACCGCTGCTCCTCGGCGACGGCCTTCTCGGCACGCTCATACACGGCCATGGCGTGTCGTGCCAGTCCGTAGTTCTCCTCCAGCTTTGCGTACAGCAAGTACAACTCTGCACAAGACATTTCCCATCGTTTGATAATGGTTCGAAAAAGACAATAAAATTACACACATAAAAGCAAAACAGTAAATTGACGAGTTCATTTTCTTTTTTATACATTAAAAAAAAAAGCTTCATTATATTCGAATTAGACAAGCAAGGAAACAAAAAGAAAAAGGCAAATAAGATAAGAAGAGAAAGGGAAAGAGGAACCAACCCTTGGCAAACTTGGCGGGACAGCCGTCCAGACACTGCTCAAAGAGGTCACGGGCCCGCTCGAGCTTGGTGCCGCCATAGCGCCGGTGGAACTTGGTGAGGTAGGTGTTCCAGATGTCGTAGACGTGTGGCCAGCGGAACAGGGCCACTCCCTTCTCGTAGGCCTTAAACGCCTCCTCAAAGTAGTTGTTCTCCTCCAGGAACATGGCGTAGTTGATGACGATCTGCGGCGTGGCGATGCGCAGGTCCAGGATCCGATCGTAGCACGACTTGCAAGTCTTGAAAGTGCCGAAGCTCTCCTCAAGATCGGCATAGAGAGACCACACCTTACCCCATCAAATAAACAAACATGTGCATCACTCATCAAAACAGAGATCCATTTCAAGGGGCGCGGGGATAGTATCGAATCCCCCGACTAATCTGCGCATCCACCTGCTGCTGCGTGGGTCTCGCATTGCTCATTTCCTTCCGCAATCTCGAGTCAGCGCCGTTTATATTTCGCACTGTACCGTATATATGCAGTATACCCCTGCCCTCTCCAACTCGAAGCACATTGCTGTACAGTACAGTACTGTACTGTACAGCACTGTATATACGGTAATGCTCTTTCCGTAGAATGCTCTGAGGGGTGCTCCTGCAGTGCTGATGCCCGGCGCATATTCGAGGTACAACCCCCCCACGCCGCCACCACCACCCCACCCTTCCGTTCTGTACACCCCCCCCCCCCCCCCCCCCCCCCCCCCCCCTTCCGTTCTGTCATCCCCCCCCCCCCCCCCCCCCCCGCCACTGCAGCCACATTCCCTCTCTGCCTCAGTGATCAATACGGGGTCAGTGCTCATCACACAGCCAGCAGAGCTCCGGCAGGACTGTGCATGCAGCACCAACTCCCCGTTATCCGAATGAGTGTCACCCGCTTCACTCGTTAGCCAGCCAGAGCACCGATAAAAGCAAGGGGCCAAAGTTTCAAAATAGAGAGAGAGAATTTCTACCAAGTGCTGCCGTTCCCTAATACAGAGAGTACTTTAATACACAGTGTTGTCCCGAACAACATATTTCTTGTTCATTGAGCAGAGGACGTCGCTTCCTTCCTCCGTTCACGAGCACCACCAGGGTGTGCGACGGTACCGGACAACAACGTGAGTGTCTTTTCAAGTGACCACTGTCTCGCGTAAGACTGATCCTCTTTACCACTAAAGGAATTTGGTACTGTACTGTCTTCCGTACACAGTACAGTATACAATAATGAGGTTTTTTTTGGCATTTATGAAGTACATTTCAGTACACAAGCAACGGCCTTAACTGTTCAACAGAAGGGTTCCAACATCCTAGGACGTAACAAGGGTTCTTTGTTCCAAGAGTAACAAGTTGCACAGTGACAAGAAAAACCGTTTTTCAGACTAATATGGAAATATCACAATGAAAAATTTGTCACGACGAGGATGAGATTCGAACTCACGCGGGCAGAGCCCATTGGATTAGCAGTCCAACGCCTTAACCACTCGGCCACCTCGTCCACCTGTCTATTGACTACCATGATCAAAAGTCAAGTTTCGATCATTCCGCGTAAACGAACGACAGCGTCGTAATGAGCGTGACAAACGAGGTCAACTACTTTCTCCCGTCCCTTGAACGTTACTGACAATTACTTCAACCGGCTTGTGCTTCATCTTCCAGCCATCCATTCCATTACCATATCATGTCATCGCTTCCGACATGGACACCGATTTTCGTCCCGATCAACGTTTCCTTCTCTCCTATCCCAAATTTTATTTTCTTTTCATTTAAAAAGAGAGAAAAATCCGAGCCGTCTAGCCACAATGTCAAGTAAACATCGACATGAACATCGTACTGCCCTAACACCACCTCAATACCCCAAACCGAAGCAAGAATGATCGACGTAGAATAAAGTACAGTACCGTACGATACTCGTCAGAACTTTTCCACAGCGATTCTCCATTAGCGTGCACACCTGCAAACCTCCATCAAAGTTACCAATTTCAAGTTACAGTATATGTATATCATTTACTAAAAATTTGAAAAGTACTTCGATGATAATCAGCGATCAACAAATTTTTCCACATGAATGGTTTTTTCAAGATCAGGATTTTACTTCACAGAGAACCAAAAGAAAATGGCAGTGTTAACCCGCATTACCGCCAAGTCGAAGCGACAAAAGACAATTCTCGAAGACTTGGATTCAGACTCACCCTGAGGCTCTTGTAGACGCGGTTCTGCACAGTCTCCCGCTCGTCGTAATAGGCAGTCTTCCTCGACGGCGGCGTCGTGGCGCGTTGCATCAATCTCAGGGCAGCCTGGTAGTTTCTGTTCCACAATGAAAATACGGAAGCATTAAGGACCAAAAAATATATACCGCTACGCAGTTTTCAAAAATTTTAAAATTTCAAGTTTTTTTTCATAATAAACTGAAAATGGAAAGAGTAAAAAAATAATTCACTCGAATTGCATTAAATCTCGAAAAGTGGTGTAACTGAGTTTCTCGAGTGAATGCAATTGAAAATGCAGTACTGTAAATACGGCATTTGTCCACATCATTTGTTAATTACAGTATTCGGGAGAAATAATACGGCCCATGTAAAAATAAACAAGCACGCGAGAGCCGCTTTCTGCCCTCCCAAGGTCAAACAGAATGCAAACACAGTCAATCGGATGCAAAGGTGATGAAACTAGGCCCCCCAAGATTCATTTTCTGATGCATTTAAAAACATTTAAAAATTTGATGAATCATTCCACATAAAAAAAAGGACGGCGTATACGGTACTGTTACATACTGTACGTAAGTATCCGAACGCCCATTGAGAAAAACTCACTCGTGCCGAATTTCCATCTCAGCAAACTCGCACCAAACGTTGGCCAGGTCTTCCACCTTGACGAACGGCACGAGAACGGCCTTTTCAAAGACGACTCTCGCGTCCTCCAGCTGCTCGTGCTTCTCGTAAAATTTGGCGAACTCGATCCACAAATTCTGCACTTTCCCCACGGCCTGCTTAGGGTCCACAGTCTGCACCGCATCCATGAACGTCTCGATCACCTGTAAGAAATCGATCAACCGAATGTTCAATCACAACCGCCACACAAAGATCTTCATCGAAATTCAAGATCACAGAGCAACAGTGAAAATTTCCATGAATCCTTTTGACTTCCGGTCCATATGACGAAATTAGTGGCTTGAGTTGATGGTGTGGTGCGCTGTTTTCAGCGAAATTTCAAAACTTCCAGGTAGTAAATTAATGAAAAGCTTCCGGCCTTTAACATGCTTTGTTTTAGGAAGCCATACTGGAACCAATTCAATCCTCTCTTCTTGGACAAGGCATACAATACCGAAGTTCCAGCATAATTTCTGCTCAATTTTTCTACAAATGCACACAACACACGACTTTCCCCAACTAAATCTAAGATAGGTATACCATACAAAAGGCCAAGGTCGTCATTTCAAGATTAAAGAACCGAACCGCCCAATAAAAATAAATCCCGATAACCCGTCGAGTATCGCACCTCGGTGGGTTTGTCTTCCAGCAAAGCAACCCGTTTGAGCCACTCGTGGACATTGTGTGGATTCTGACGCAACAAGACGGAGTTGAGGAGCAGCGGGCGACGGTCCATAAGCGCCTCGAACCGCGCCATTCGCAAGTCTATGTCAGCGTCGTCCTCTTGCGACGGCTCCGCTTTCTTGGCCGCCTCGTCCATGCGCTTTGACAGGGCCAACTCCTCAAACTGGGCGTAGGCGTCGAAGACCTGAGAGAAGTCCCGCACGGTCGTCACCGTCTTGATGGCCTCTTCGTAGATATCTCGGGCCTGCGAAACGGGAGTAGCGTCAATAGTGCACAGAGATACCGCGATGAATTACTTCAGCTTATTACGCAACAAAAACTCACCCTTTCGAACAGCCCCGAGCGAATGTAGTAATCAGCCAAGGAATTCCACAAATGCCCCAGCTGATCCGTGTAGCGTCGAAGGCCACCCCGAATGATACCATCCACGTCCAACGTGCTACAACGACAACGGGGACAACAAGAAAAATGTAGTACAGTACATGGCTCAAAAAACCCCTCTGATGTTTCTTAAAAAGAAAAAAAAAACACAGATTGGGTAGGATTTCTTACGTGATTTTGTCTGGATTTTGAGAGATCAGCTCGCACAGTTCGTTCCACAATTGGTGATTGGACTTTCCGTGCTTGGACACGAATCGCTCATCATTGACAACACTGGCAAGTCGCTGGGCCGCCTCTTCCAACCAGTCGATAGAGATCAAAAAGTCTATGTAGTCTTCGGCATCTTCGGGGGCCATCTGTGTGACGGGGGAAGGGGGTGGGGAGGATAGGAGAAGAATAACATAAAATACGTGGAGAAAACAAAACAGGAAACGGAACTAGCCTGGAGATAGCGTCGGTAGACCCGGACTGCAGTCTCTGCTACACCGTGCTTCCGCACAAACTCCAAATAAAGTGGCCAGAGTCTCGTGTGCTGCGTCACCGGCAATGCTCGCAACGCCCTGTCAAACGTCTTCCTCGTCCTCGTCACTTTGCCCTGAGACACGAGAAACTTGCAGTATTCGATCCAAATCCGAGGCATCTGCAAAAAAAAAAAACAACATTTTATTCGCAGATTCGGCGAACGAGGAAAAATGATAATTCGAGCAACAACTTGTTGCTTCTTCCTTTCCCTTCAACGCCCGGCCCTGCTTTCGGAATGTCACACCTATTTCTTGCCAGAATCAAGGAGCAAGATTGAGAGCCAATTTCCACATAACCTTAATCAACACACCCGACAGAACTTCAACCAAATGAATCCCAGAAACCTTGAGACAACTGTTCAATATTTTAACCTCGAAGAAGAAGTCAAGCTTAATTTGAGAACCAATTAATTTTCTGAATACTGTATGTATATATCAAGTACAGTACTGTACATATTTTTCATCACCCCTGGACACGCGGCGTGCGTGGCTGTCTGTCTACCTTGTGCATGGTGACGAGAGCGCGTTCAAACATGTTGTTGGTGTCCTCAAAGACGAGGTCGAGGGGACACAGGCCCTTGACCTGGTCCAGCCGGGACTTGACGTAGGCATGCCACAGCTTGTAGCTGCCTGGCAACTCCTTGAGGGCCCGTTCGTACACCAGGTTCTGCTCACTGGGGCTGCCCGACTTGTGCTCCACATAGCGCAGCCAGTGCTTCACTGAGTACGGGTTGCGCAGGATCTCTTCCTCGTACGCAAGGTCTTCATCTTTCTGCAATGATGAGTCCAAAATTAACAGTCACATAAACAAATGAATAACATTTTCATAAAAATAATTATAGTAGATTAAAAAATTAATCTAAAAAACCACGTTTTCAAAAAGCAAAAAATAACCTTAAAC